GGGAGCTTTCCAACATGGACAGCAGATTGCTCCCAAAGGTTTAAGATAAAATGAAAGGGCAAAATACACCGTTGGCCTGAAGCTGGAAGATACTTTTCTAATTTTTCATTTTAATTAACTCTGTAAAAGAGCTAACTAGTAAGAATTCTGATGCACTTGCATAGCTGAGAAAATTCAATTCATGTCAAAGAATATGAAAACACCTATTGACAACAGGACCAATTTGGCAATTCGACTTACTGACTAATCTGACCAATTTATCTTTGAGCATTATATTAACCAAACCGTAAAAATCTCTATTAAATATATCCATTGAGTGATCATTTTGAGAAGTAAATCATAGGCTATGGAAAATTAACCGAAGATGAGGTGCTTGAACAAACAAATGTTAATTCATTATTGGAAACCATAACTACGTTACTGGTTTAAAATAGTAACAGTGAAAAGCAAAACTAATTAGAAGGAAGAAGGAAAAAAGAGTTTAGGAAGTGGTAACCACTATGTGCCAACCTAAGAAAGATTTTATAGAAAGAGAAAAAAACAAAACTCAACTATTTTGGTCAACATACAGAGAGAAAATATGTGATACTGAGATGGAAACCACTTTCACCCTCCACTGTGATTAGCCTGAGAACATATGTCTGAACCCGACTGTGAAAGAGACTATAATAAAACACCAAAAGTGTAGAACCTGAAGGGTTTTTTGCTTTCACCAGGTAAAAGACACAACCAGATCACAAAAACCTGAAAGGATCACATCTGCTCAACAGAAACATTAGTTTCTGTTAGCACTCTATTACTAGAGTGCCCTCAGAACTGTATTATATTCATCACCAAAAACATACCCATCCATCCTGACGTTCAGGGAACAAGCAAAAGCAATCCCAAGCTGCAACCCTGCTAAAGGGCAGAGGGACAAGCTTCCAAAGCAGAGTCTTCACATTCACATTGGAGAATGACCCTACTGAATGCCCTGTCCTCTCAGAGCTACTGATGCCAGATTCTTTTGCTCCAGCTTTGAGTGGTCAGATCTATACGTCCATTCCCAGTTTTAGGCGAGTCAGAGACTTTGACATCTTTCTTAAAACCATCTGCTTTATTGAAAGGTTAAACTGATCTGGAGGCAGAGTCACTGATGTGATGTGATACACACTAAGTCTACCATCAATGGTTTCCTTCATGTGGCAGAGATTTCCTAATTCATTGCTGCCTGTTAGAAAAGCATCATTACATTACTATCAGTTCTTGGACTCTAGACTCCCAACCTAAGCATTAAGATGCTGTACATTCTAGGTAGGCAGCTATGAGCCTAGGACAAAATTCAAGACGACATCATGCAAATTACAAGTTGCTCTGTCCTTTAAAAGATCTAGCAATCAGTGGAGTCTTCACAGGCAGAGAATAAAGAAGGGAATCCCAGTATACACCTGCTATGCATCTTGCCAACAGTTTTCTCAAGAAAAGGTTTCTTGCAGAACCGTGGACAAAATATCTGGGTAGGATCTAACAGATGGTCAAATTTCAACTATCCTCCATGAAGTTCAAATAAAGTATAAGTGTCAAATAAAAAGCATAGGCTGCTATTAGCACTAATATGCTTATATGGCATCATATGCTTCGACAGATTATGTTAGGGATGTAAATGTGTGTAAAATTGGAAAGAGAGAGCTATCTATCTATTCATAACCCCAAAGCTGATAAGAATTTTCTAAGGGAAAAGGCAAACTAGAAAAGGAGATAAATTTGAATAGTTCTATGCACTTATGTTAATCAAGTTTAATAACCCATAACACTAAGCACATGAACAAAGTCTTCAGAGACAGACAGAGACATAGGGGAAATTAAAGTATTCACTTACTTAAGTTGCATTTGCCATGAAAAAGAAGTCCACAGTGTTGTCAAAAAAGTTATGATAAAAGAACTGAACACAATCTCTCCTCAGAAAAGAGTAAAAAAGATACAAACCACACAGTAACTATTTCTGACAGATGAACTGAACTGTCCAGTAGAGATTTCAGAACAAAACTTTGTGCTCAAATTTAACAACAAAGAGCCATTTTGCCACGCAAGGGAATAAAATTATCTACAAATGTCTAAGATTACTTCCCACCTAGGTAAAATAAAAGAAGGAGCTGGATTCATTTAGAAGACTACTTTTTTTTCCTTAAATGCAGAGAAGTGAAAGGCCGTGAAAATCATGCTTTTAGGGCTTGAGACTGACTAAGAGATCCAAGTCTGCTGCAATTGGCAAGTTAAAGCTTATTTAGGTTAGAGAATACAATTTCTGATAAGAATAAATCTTTTCCATGAAGAAAGGAGTTTGTACTGACTTATATCTCTGCGCCAGTGCTAGTGATTTCATTACCACTGGCAACCGTAAATATCTGATGAAGTTATCTGCAAATCTGTTTTTCATCAGCTTAGAACGGAAATGAAACTTGAAAGATCAAAGATAGTCACAGGGAGAATTTGACACCTATTTAGTTATGGTGGTAAAATTATCTAGAGTCTGCATCCTAATTCAACAGAAAACTTCACAGAAAAGGCTGCAGATATAATTTAAAGAATTATCAAAAAAAGGACGTTAAGTGTAAATTGCAAATGTATCTTCAATGACAAAATTATCAAAGAAAAAAGGAAATAAAGACCATAGCTCCTCGGACAGACAGGCCTAGGATAAAGACAGGTACTGAAAATTCAGCTGTTCTTTCTTGAAAGGGCTCAGTGTACTCAGGCTAGAGATAAATACAAGGAGGGTATTTCTGAAAAGCCATGAATATGGTAATGAGAATTTCTAAATTTAACAAGCTAGCATGTCAGGAAGGGCAGATAATTTCTTTCAGGCATGCTCTCAAGTGAGCAGCTCAGCAGCTTCCCAAGTTGCAGCAAACTCTATACAGACTCCTTCAATCCTTAGAAAAAGGTTTTCTTTCCAACTTCTCTGAGCTATATTTTTGCTCCCTACTCTTCTCACCCTTTGCCTGGGCTGCAGGAGCACTACAGCTTGCTGATATCTCACATCTGTTCCCCTTGCTCCACTCTGCCCTCCAGGAAAGCCCCAAACATGCTCCCGTTGGTACCCAAACTATGCAGCAAGCACCATTCCCCAGTTAGAAGAAATGGGAGAAGTAACTGGATCAGTCCACTGTTGGTATCAGCAAGATGAACCCAAGAAAAAAGGAAGGAATATCTTTTTGTTCAGATTGTGAATCATTACTTCCCTTAAACAAGATCCTCTTGAAGCATCAACAAGAATAAACTGTCCAGATGTAAGAAAGGACAACACAAGCTGAGTTAAGAAAAGGCTTTTTCAGGAAACGAGAAGACTTGTGAACATCTTTAAACAAAGAAAACTGTAAGAATTTACCTCCTAAATTTACTAAAATAAAAGCTGAAAGTCCACAGAAATGCTGTCTATAAATGTGTAGCATAACCACCAACCAGAACAAAAGCATATTGAGCAACACCAGAGAAAACTTGCCACAACGAAATTTAGCTCAGAAATTGCGTAATTAGCCATCAGAGGATGGATGTTTGCAACCTTGCAGTTTCTCAGCTTTGAACTTTATCTTTAATTATCAGAAAGATTACAATATTAAGAACCTTCCAAGAGACAGCTGAATCCTGCAGAATACATTTCTAGAAAGTTTCCCAGTTTTGGGGGAAAAATATACATCTGTAAAATTCAGGTCACGGTTCTCTGAAAAAAAAAATTGTAACTCCTTCAGAGCTCCATTTAGTAAATCTTGGGATTCAAAATTACCAATTCAGACATGGCATAAGTAAGCTATCAACAAAATTTCTACCCTTAAATAGGTCAGAAAGACTTAATCTAAGTCTTAACTCCACCATAATAAGCAAGAAGGTGAAGTTCTGAATTTTGTTTTGTTAATGGATTTCCCTCCACCTCATCTTTTTTTTTTTAGTGGTCCTCTAAATTTCCTGTTTTGGTAGAAACCAATAAACAGATCTCAACCTTTCAAGAAATTGCCTGAACTTACTGTTATATAACAGCAAGTAAATAAATTATCTAAATAACTGACACACATTATAGCCTTAAGTATCAAATGACTTCAGGTGAGAGTCAGAACCATGGCAATACATTCCAATAGGAGTGAGACTCTTCTTAGTTTGGGACTGAATTTACAAGCTAATCTTGACAGCGGCTACTAATTTGCAAAATTTAAGCTCTCAGCTTCCTGCTCCAAGAGAAATCCAGTAACAGGAAATGCTCATTTTTGGGGGCTATTTCAGCAATGTGTTTTGGGAAAGCTTATTACCTTGTTTTCTGAAAATGCTTCAATACTTCCACATGGGTACTGAAAACAAACCTTTTACTTTAAAGGTTTCAGAGATTACTGAACATAAAGCTGATAGTCAAGAAAAGTTTATGTTAAAATATAAGAATGGTATAGGTTATTTCATTTCCATAAGTATCATATTCATTTCTTCTCAGATATGCAAGTATGGCTAGAAAAGATGACGTGCTTTGTTTCACGTTACACACTAATAAAATAAATATTACCTGTGACAAAAAAGGTGGGAGCAGAGTACATCCTGACACTTTAAACCTGTAGTCTGACAGAATGATCTAGCAAGAGTTAACAAAAATCTCTCTAGCTTAATATATGTATATATTTCATTGTGTATCAAGACTGTGAATGTAATAATTCTATTTACATATAATTTCATATTTCATTTGACTTCCTTTTCAATAGAAAACATGCATCAGGGTTGAATATCTACAAAGCTGTGATTCCACAGCAGTTTAAACAAAACAGGTCAGTTGTAAATATCAGATCTATTATTTTAATAGTTTGCTGAGGTTAGTAAAACCTATCTGCTTCCAGATGTCATTCTGTTAAGCAGAACTGGAGCACCTCAAAGATTGCCTTGGTAGCACTTTCTTCCTAAATTTCAGATGAAAATTCTCACAAAACATATATTATGGCATAAGCATCACTTTGTGAGCAAGCATATACACTTTACTGCTTTGAGTCTTACCTGGAAATCTCTGCTTGAGAATTCTTCTCTCCATCAACTGTAAATGGTGATGCTCCAGTCAATAATTCATACATAAGAACACCAACGCTCCACCAATCAACAGCCTACAGAACAATAATTATCTATGTTGTGATACGTTGAAGTAAAATTGTTAACAAAAGAAGGAACAAAGCAATGCACCCAGAAAGCAACCAACAAAGGAAGAGCTCACCTATCAACATAAAGGTAAACCTGGATACAATAAAGCATAAGTAATTGCAGTACCAATTAGAGGTATTTTCTATGATTAATTAACTTTATTTTGAAATGTCTCCACTTAGCTTCTTCAACTAAGGAACTTCAACAGCACAATTGAAGAGTTTCAGTTAACCAGGGCACCTGAAAATGCTATGGAACTGTATCTTACATTCCCTCATAACACATGTGATCTTTGGCTTCCCAAATACTAATCATATTATTCATATCTCCGATACCTCATAACTTACAAAATATTTCTCCCTTTCAAAAGAAAAGATGCTACTATAGAACAACAAAAAGCAATTCAGTCACCAACGAAATTAATTCTACTACAGGTGTTTGAACTTCTCAGTTTTGCTTTCATGAAATTTGCAGATCAATGAAACTGAAGTCCTGCTTTACTTATGCTGACAACACTAATACCATACAGTAAGACAATCAGTGAAATGATGACAATTTGGCCTCATATTTTAGGTTTTTTGTTTCAAGACACATAAAATCTGACATTTCATGTATTCAGCTAAAAGTGTCTACAAGAACTAGTCAAAGAAGTCCCTGTACAGTAATTATCTTGGCAAATACACAGCTATCAGAGAAAATCCCAGGAGAATTTCTTGGCATGTGTTTTTCCAAATGAAAAGGAGAATTTGCAGAATCAGAAATCAAACTTTATAAAAATAAGTACTGAAATACTAGAGCAAGCCATTTAGACAAACAATACAGCTACCTAGAAGAGCTGACAAATCAAAAACACTGATTAACAGGAGTATAACACACTAAAGCAATCTCATTTCCTCTTTCTTAAATAAAATCTTTGAGTTGCTAGATAGGCAGTAAATATGAAATACACTAAAAACCTTCTAACACTGTGGCAATGGTGAGGCAGAGTGTGTGGTGTAAACAATCAACATCACATAGGTAACTGAAAAATCACCTTTATCTATCAGCCAACATTTGGTATCAAACTGTGAAGCTATTTCTTATAGGATATTGTATGGCTCTGCGCTACATTTAATGAAAGTATCAGATAGCACCAATCAAAGATAACAGAACAGAGATCCCTCTTTAAATCAGCAACAATATTGAATTTGTAAGCACTTGAGAAGACAGAACCACAATTCAAACTGACTCATGCATTGGAGAGATGCTTTGAAACTGGCAAGTCTCATCTAACAAATAAAGTGCAAGAAAGAGCAGAAGTTTGTCAAATTCCATTTTTAATCATGACTAGGCAGGCAGTACAGAAGATGATGGGTACAGTGGAATACAAAGTAGATGTGAAACAATGATTAAGGGAAAAGACCAAGCACATTCTGATTTATGTGTAAGAGAAGAATCAGGGAGGTGATCACTCTGCTGTGCTGCAAACTGCCAACTCTTGTGATTGCTACAGCGCTCCCTATGTCAACAAACACAAAAGTGAACTCAGCCCAGAAGAGCAGCAGAATGCACAGAGAAGGAGAAGAAAGAACCTTCTCAGACAAAGTCAGGCTGAGTCCAGTTGCTCTAGAAAAAGGAGATGGAGGGTGACATAATTTCAAGTGCTTACAAAGGCTGCAACAAGGGGAACCAAGATCCATTCTATTCTATGAACCTCAGCAGAAAGACAGCAAAAACACCCAGAGATTAAATATTCTCCAAAACTTCACAGAATAGTGAGTAATCACAGTAATTTATCTAGGAATATTGTACAATTCTTTTGGGGAGTAGGGGTTTTTTTTGTTTCAAATACCATCTGTGAATTACAGTTGTCTTGATCTTTCCCATCAATTACTGACACTTCAATTCATAATAAAAACTTGAGCCTCAAGCTAAACAGAATTTCTGTAATCTGAGAACATTTATAAACATTAATAACCCACTCCATACTTCAAGAAATATGTTCCCTGATGTACAATTTAAAAAATATAACAGAATTAGCCATAAAGCAATCTTTTCCACTCTGAACTAAACAGTTTTTATTTAAAAGGAAGTGTCAGCTAAGATTTTTTGTCCCACTGCACATTTAGAAACAATTCTGAATAGAATACAAATAAGCCTCACTAACTTTATAAATATCCCTTTTGCTTAAGACTAGAAACTAAAAATACATCATATTGATGTTTTTAAATATAAGCAATAATCTATCTTAGGACAACCTGAAATAAAGCATGTTTAAATAAGACACTATTACATTTCACAAAAACCTCCTTGAGCTGAGCAGTGTTGCCTAAAGAATTAACTTAAACTCAGATAGACCATACCTTATCGTGTCCTGTATCACCTCCTCTTACAATATCTGGAGCCATGTATTCTATTGTTCCACAGAAGGAATATGCTCTCTCATTCTAGCAAAAAAAGAAAATAAAGTTCGCATCAAACAATTACATGATACAAATCATATGGGACAGATATGGCTAACAGTTCCAAGATGCTGGCAGCAATTCTTCTCCAAATAGCTCAGAACTGCTAGCTAAATCACATTTCATCATATGCAGAGACGTACCACATAACGCTACAGAGCATTTACAGTCTTCCACGAAAAATAAAATGTCGTAGGTTTGTGTGGCAGTCTAAGATAAGAACACAAAAATTAACATATTGGTATTTAAAATGTTTCCCATAAGTCTAAATGATCTATACACTTCAGAACTAGACAAGATTCCCCAAAGTAATACAGACACATTCTGAAGGCTGCATTATCAATACTCTAGACAGCAAACAAAATATTTCCATTAAAAAGAGCATTTCATTGTGAGATGTACAATTTGACTAAACTGGATACAAGATCCTTTGGGTTCCTCGTATTTAGGAAGTTATTATGTCCTCTAGAAAAGTAATTTTTTTTGCAACACACACATACATAAAAACACAACATTCTCTCAAGAAGAGACTTGGAAAGAGACAAGAGAGAGAAAGAGAAAGACAGACAAGACAGACAGAGTCGTAGATTGCATTTTATTCTACACACTGAAGTTATTGTCTGGCTTATGCTCAAAACTAAGCTGCTTTCATAGGCATGTATAATGTTCCCTGGGAGCGATTTACCTTTGAGGCCAACATGAGGTCATGCTGTACCTTGCTAAAGACGAAAGCACATGTGTTTGGGCCATGCAACATTGTTCCTCCCTTATCCTTCAAGCTTCTAGCATTTTGGGGAGAGATCCTGATAGGTCCTTTAAAGAAGAGTGTTCAAAAAAGCAAATATTTCAAAAGTCAGGTTTTACATTTGTATATTCAGATTTGGAGTTTAAAACAGGTGCTATATAAGAGAGTGTACTACGCTAATGAGAGGAAGCTGCTAAAAGTAGAAATAGTGCTCAGTGCTACCCTGAGGCATAAAAATTAAAACAGTCCAACAGCATACTATTAAACTGTATTTATTAAAATACATATACTGTGACTGGAATTTTGGAGGAAAATTCTGAGTTCAAAATAGCTATAGGCCTCATTTTGTTCAAATATTAAGTGGAAATAATAACTTCTGAGACAAAACCATAAAATAACAAACTTTTCAAGATTCCACTTTCTTTTGACACAACTATTGTTTCTCTTTGATTATCTTTTCCAGTACCTGTTATCTAAAAAAAAAAAGTGTGATAAAAAGCAAAAAAAAAAAAAAAAATCGGAAATTCCTAGCCCTCCATCCTGGCCTAGCCAATCTAAACCTATCCATATATCCTTTTGGTCATTTGTCCTTCAGCTGGGAGGGAGGGAGAAGGGAAGAAGGAAAAGGAAGGGGACTGAAAAATACAAACCAAAAAACTGTTCTTCACTTGCTACGTGTCCAAAGAGTAAAGATAAAGCAGCCAAGCTGAAATCACAGAATCACAGAATGTTAGGGATTGGAAGGGACCTCAAAAGATCATCCAGTCCAATCCCCCAAATCTATGAAAACAATTTATAACACTAATATATCAAAAGAAATGGATGAAAACTATTATCATTTAGTTAGCTGCAAATTCAGCAAAATACCTGCAAAATTATGGCTTTTTTGTCTCCATGCTGTGTCATAAAGGTAGGCTACGAGATACTACAGTGACCAGAACCAGGTTGGGGAGATGTAAATGAATGTATACAGTGGTACAGCAGAACCCTTACGATCTCAGGTACCTTTTGCTGGGGAGAAGGTCCACTAAAATATTTTTAAAACACCCAGAATTATTAGTAGTAGCTTTTTTGAGGAACAATTACAACCTTTACTATACATAATTGCTGGTTCTGATTTTAAATTATATTTATTTTTTAACTTTTTTACCTTTTACAATCATTTTAGCTTTTAATATGAAAGATAAAATTTCTGAAACAATATTTGGAGATTACTTTTACTTCTTTCTTAAATTCATGTCTGAGGTATTCTTTTTGTGCCTTGCAAAACTCAGCATTTAAAACCCCAAAAAATTTTTTTGATATTTTGGTTTAAAAAAATTGGTAGGGTATCATTTAAATCTTTTCTTATAATTAAATGTCAATATTGAAAACTCACACTGTAAGTCACAAACAGGCATTTATAAATTGAAAACACTCTGGGATATGTTTGTAATGACGCCCAACTTCTAATCCACATGGGTAAGTACTTGTATCCTTTAGCTCTTGCTTCCTTCTGAGTTCAGAAGCAGTCTGCTGCTGAAATTCAAGGCTAAACAGAGCCAAGAAGAATAAAGCAGATGATTATCACAAGCAGAGTTCTTAGCCAGAAACTAAGTAGCAAACTGGGACTCAGCATTAGGTAGGAAAAACATGGACTCACTGAGCATTTTCTTTCCAAACACCACTGATTTGCCATTACATACACTAGTGGTGTATTCCAGAAGCCCTGCTGGAACCAGCTCCTGGCTGATACAGGCTGACCATTAAAAAAAAAAAAAAAATCACAAAAAAAAAAAATCACAGAATGGTTGGAGTTGGAAGGGACCTCGAAAGATCATCCAGTCCAACCCCTGCCAGAGCAGGATCACCAGACCAGGTCATGCAGGAAGGCGTCCAGGCAGGTCTTGAATGTCTCCAGAGAAGGAGACTCCACAACCTCTCTGGGCAGCCTGGGCCAGTGCTCTGCCACCCTCACAGGAAGTTTATAGTTTCTTATTTAACCACACAAAAAAGTTTTAAGGACCACAGCACTCTCCAGAACATAAATAAATCCTTTCTGAAAGCAAAGCATTCTGACTCAACTAAAAATTGACACAGATTTGCCTTCATAAGACACTGTAGAAAGTCGTGACTTCAGACAGGTAAGTCACAAAATCAGGATACTTCTTTGTTAGACACCTGTATTTATGTTTTGTTCTATTAATTCACAAGTCACACCAACTATATCTATCTGTGACCTACAGGACACAGCTTTTATAGTATCACCAGGAGCTCTTGTGTAAATTTGTCACTGATAAATATTATGCATTACATGCAGGTTTAAAACCATTTTCAAAGATTTTTATCTCCAGTAACAGTTTCCTTTTTTACCCTGTTCTGGGATCCCCAGTACAAGAGACATGGACATTCTGGAGAGAGTCCAGCACAGGGCCAGAAACATGACTGGAGCAGGGACTGGAGCAGATGAGGAAAGGCTGAGAGAGCTGGGGCTGCTGCACCTGGAGAAGGGAAGGCTCAGGGGGATCTCATCAAGGTGTACAAATACCTCAAGGGAGGGTGCAAGGAAGAGGAAGCCAGGCGCTTTTCAGTGGTGCCCAGTCACAGGACCAGAGGCAACGAGCACAAACTGGCACAGGAGGTTCCCTCCGAACATCAGGAAGAATGTTCCTGTGAGGATGACTGAGCACTGGCACAGGCTGCCCAGGGAGGTGGTGGAGTCTCCCTCCTTGGAGATACTCAAAAGGCATCTGGACACAGTCATGGCCAACTGGCTCTGGGTGACTGAGCAGGGCTGGTTGGAGCAGATGACCTCCAGAGGTCCCTTCCAAGCTCAACCATTCTGTGATACTGTGACAAAAAGTCACTGCAAGTTTTATTTCACCATTCATTTGTGAAAACACATTTCACTCATAAATCAAGCATGTGGCCTGCCCCAGAAATTTCAAAAACCACAACCAAACCTCATTTTGTATTAACATTTCATTCAACTTTATAACATGAATCCAAATTCTAGAATTCATATTAATACTTTCTTGTTATGAGATCTAATACAAGAAAGGAAGTTATTAAGCAACAACTGAACTTGCATTACCTATAGGTGAACTCTCACTGAACATTTGCAAATATTTAAGAATGTTCTACGTAACGCAAAAACGCTCATTTTCTTCCCTCACTCAGCATGCATGCTTTAAACACTAGTTCCCTCTTCTGAACTGCAGAACATCAAGCAATCAGATACTGACAGCAGGAAACTGAAGTGTGGCTAACCCATCTCTAATAACTCAGTGACAATATCGACCTTGTCTTTGAAAGACTGTCACTATGCTTGTTCCCAATCAGCAGTGCTTCCATGTTTACAAATAATGCAGCGATAGTCTTCTGTCTTCCAGCACACAATAGCTGGTTTTTATTTATATTATTTTCTTTACCAATTTCAGCATCATTCCTGAATGCAATAGCATAGGTTTTAGTAAAGGTATACAAGTGGCTTCTTCAAACCAGTTAGCTGCTTAAGAGCACAACAACTTTTCATGAAGCCACTGATACAAAGAGAATTTTGTTAGAGTTCTTGATCAGAGGACATTGGTAGGTTCACCTGGATAGCCAGGCAGTTCACTTTGTTAAATCATCCCTCTGTGAAATTAGACAAGCAAGTTATATTCCCTTAACACTTACTCTCTGTGATGAGTTACACACTGACACTGTGGATGTGCCTATATATATTACCAGAGTCTTCCTAATCAATTCTCTAGTACTACACATTGGTTAGACCTCTAACATTTCCTACGCCACTTACAGCAATATAAAGAATAGTGCACCACCCTCTTTCTGAGTTTCTTGCAATCATTCTGACTGCTCTGAGCATTTCAGTGAAATATAACTGTTTTAACTTGCTAGAGCACTTCCATTACCATGTCTGTATGATCCCTGCAGCCTTTTCTCCAGGTTATCTATTTTAGCATCCTATTTTCATTTTCCTTCATCAAAAAAGAGAGCATAATTTGTCTTCCAACCAGGAAATGTTGATAGCACCTAGCCACCAAGCAGCTTTTCAACAGAGCATTAGAATTCTGTGACTGTCCAAGATGGAGAGGTGTAATGTGGATTAGCATTGGTCCTGGAAGACAGTCATTTTGGCACAGAAGAAAAAGACTCAGCAGTGTCTTCTTTGCTAAGACTATGTACACTGACCTTGGCAGGCTAACCACAATTACAAAATTTCCAGAGAAAAACCTAACTCCAAAATTCAATCAAAAGT